CAGTGACGTCATCCAGTGACGTCACCCACTGACGTCACCCACTGACGTCATGCAATGACGTCATCCAGTGACGTCATTTCCTGACTTCGCCCTTACTGGTACATACCGGTACCCACCGGTATAGCGAGGCTTGGTCTTCCACTTGCTTCAACACTTGACGCAGCTTGACGAGGTGTCTTCTTCACAGCCGCTGTCTTTTCAACACTTAGTTCGCAACTTTGAATACTACCTCTAAGCCTATTATTCGCAGTGACGTCATCCAGTAACGTCACCCACTGACGTCACCCACTGACGTCATGCAATGACGTCATCCAGTGACGTCATTTCCTGACTTCGCCCTTACTGGTACATACCGGTACCCACCGGTATAGCGAAGCTTGGTCTTCCACTTGCTTCAACACTTGACGCAGCTTGACGAGGTGTCTTCTTCACAGCCGCTGTCTTTTCAACAGAATCGTCCAAGCAATCGGCAGTGGGGACATTGTCATGTCGATGAAGACACCCCAAGGGATGAAGAAAGGTGTGCTCACAAACGTGTGGCACATCCCAAAGTTATCCAGAAACCTGTTCTCGGTCGGCCGCTTCACCAAGGATGTCGGCCCAGTGACGTTCACGAAGGATGGGTGCTATGGAGAAGCGAAAGGGACCAAGTGGAAAATTGGTGCCCGTGAAGGTAAAGGACTGTTCAAGCTGCAAATGACTCCAGTGGCGCCGGAACAAGCAAATGCAGCCAAGTCGTCGGGATGTCAAGGGGGCACCAAGTCGTACCTCTGGCACCTTCGGCTTGGCCACATAGGTCATGATGGACTCAATTGCATCGTGACGAAGAACATTGGAATTGGCATCGACATATCTTCGGTGAAGAAGTGGGACGTGTGTGAAGGTTGTGCTCTGGGAAAACAGACTCGAGTGCGCTTCCAATCAAACACTACAGCTCGCACCTCCAAACTCCTCGAAGTGATTCACAGCGACGTATGCGGACCGATGTCGATGGCAACTTTCAGTGGAAAACGGTACTTCGTGACATTCATCGATGACAAGTCAAGATACTGTGTCGTCTATCTGCTCAAGAGCAAATCTGAAGTTGCGGCGAAGTTCATGGAATACGCTGCGATGGCCGAAACGCAAACCGGAAAGCGCGTGAAGTACCTTCAAAGCGACAATGGGGGTGAATACAAGTCCGACAAGCTGGCACGATTCTGCGCGGAACGGGGAATACAACAAAGGTTCACAACCCCATATACTCCTCAGCTAAACGGAGTAGCTGAGAGAATGAATCGCACGCTGGTCGAGTGTGCGCGTTGCATGATGGAACACGCTGGACTGGGAAAGAGCTACTGGGGTGAAGCAGTGATGACGGCGATGTTTCTTCGAAACCGCTGTCCAACACGTGCCATTCACCAAGACAAGTCTCCATATCAAGTGTGGACGATGAAGAAACCGATTCTGGCCAACCTTAAAGTGTTTGGATGCCACGCGTATGTTCAAGTGCCTCAAGACAAACGCGCGAAGTTCGACTCCAAGTCATCACTCTGTCGTTTCCTGGGATACGTCGAACACCAGAAGTCATATCGATTTGAGGAAGTGTCAACAGGAGCGATCAAGATCAGTCGCGATGCCACATTCATGGAAGACAAGTTTGATGAAGGTCCGCGCAACTACAACGATGAGTCAAGTGTCGTTGAGTTTGATGATCATGATGAGGACGAAGAAAAAAGAAGAAGGTAAAACTGACGACGACATGGACTCGAGCGACGATGACAACGAAGACACCAGGTCTTCGAAGAGCAACATCAAGAGACACACGCGCACTCAATCACTTGAGAAAGCTACCGTCATTCCAAGTCCCAAGCGAAGAACATACAGAGGTCCGTCGCTTGAGCATGTGTCAGCGGCTGCAATGGATTTTGAAGCAGCCTACATCGTTGATTCAGTGGGGGGAAACGCCGACTACATTCAAGTCGGCGATGGAATCAAGCGACTCCGGCAAGTGGAAAGAAGCGTGTGACTCGGAGTTCGATTCGCTTCAGAGAAACGACACGTGGGAAATCGTGCCTCTTCCGAAAGGTCGCAAGGCCATCGGGTGCCGATGGGTTTTTCGTGTAAAGGAGAATCAAGATGGCGAAGTTGAACGTTTCAAGGCAAGACTTGTGGCCAAAGGATTCTCACAGAAATTCGGAGTTGACTATGAAGAAACTTTCGCACCGGTGGCCAAGTTCACATCGATTCGTGTGGTGCTTGATGAACTTTAGACTTCTTGGTCCGAGTGCAAAACGCAAAGTGAATATATATTTATAATAGGTACTTAGTTCGCAACTTTGAATACTACCTCTAAGCCTATTATTCGCAGTGACGTCATCCAGTGACGTCACCCACTGACGTCACCCACTGACGTCATGCAATGACGTCATCCAGTGACGTCATTTCCTGACTTCGCCCTTACTGGTACATACCGGTACCCACCGGTATAGCGAAGCTTGGTCTTCCACTTGCTTCAACACTTGACGCAGCTTGACGAGGTGTCTTCTTCACAGCCGCTGTCTTTTCAACACTCCCTCTCGACTCGTTAGCTGCGGCACCATGGATCCCAAGTCGATCGCGAATGTTTTCAAATTGTACAGCGGCGATCGGCTTGGTCATCATGTCTGCCAGCATATCTTGAGTCGGGCAATACTCCAAAACGACTTCACCTGATTCCACCTTCTCACGCACAAAATGGTAGCGTATGTCGATGTGTTTTGTTCTCTTATGGAACTCCGGGTTCTTGGCGAGAGCGATTGATCCTTGGTTGTCTTCATACATCTTGATCGCTTCGTCGCTTGTCATCTCACCAAGTTCCCCCAAAAGCACTTTGAGCCATACTGCTGCTTTGGTTGCTTCGGAAAGCGCCATGTATTCTGCTTCTGTTGAAGATAGCGCGACCGTCCGTTGTTTCTGGCTTTTCCAGCTGATGCATCCTCCGCTCATCATGAACACATAGCCGCTTGTACTTCGTCTTGACTCAATGTCGCCGGCCCAGTCTGCGTCGGTGTACCCGCAGATACGGCTTCCTTCTTCACGTGTAAACTCAAGACCATGATTGGGCGTTGCTTGCAGGTATCTCAGCACACGCTTCAAAGCTTGCCAGTGAGTCGGGCATGGGTCGGACGAGAACTGGGATAATGATCCCACTGCAGCAGCTAGATCCGGACGTGTGGCGACCATGAGATACATGATGCCTCCGACAGCACTTCGATATGGCACGTTGCACATGGTGTCTTCGTGCTTGCATTCTTGTTCACACATGTTCTTGGTTAGCTTCAGGCCGGGATCTTGAGGCGTCTTCACTGGCTTGCTGTTATCCATTCCGAACTTGGTTAACACGGACTTGAGGAACTTGGTTTGTTGTACAGTCACCATTCCCGTCTTACGGTCGTTCTTGATCTCCATGCCGAGAAAGTAATCGAGCTCACCGAGATCCGTCATTTCGAAGCGTTTGCTCAGCGCCATCTTGGTTGACTTGAGGAGTTCGTTGTTGCTGCTGGCCAGGATGAGATCATCGACGTAGAGCACCACGAGAATCATGTCTTGGTCGTCTCGCTTGATGTAGATGCAGTGGTCCGATTCGCACTTCTTGAATCCCATCTTGATCATGAACCCATCGATTGTTTGGTTCCACATGCGAGGCGATTGCTTCAAGCCGTAGAGTGATCTCTTTAGCTTGCACACATAGTCCGGCTGTGTTGCATCCAGGTATCCGTCCGGCTGGTCCATGTAGATGTCTTCGTTGAGGGAGCCGTTAAGAAACGCTGTCTTGACGTCCATCTGATGTAGCATTAGGCCGTACTTAGCCGCCATACTGAGCACCACACGAATCGATGTGAACTTGGCCACCGGTGCGAAAGTTTCTTCATAGTCAACTCCGAATTTCTGTGAGAATCCTTTGGCCACAAGTCTTGCCTTGAAACGTTCAACTTCGCCATCTTGATTCTCCTTTACACGAAAAACCCATCGGCACCCGATGGCCTTGCGACCTTCGGAAGAGGCACGATTTCCCACGTGTCGTTTCTCTGAAGCGAGTCGAACTCCGAGTCACACGCTTCTTTCCACTTGCCGGAGTCGCTTGATTCCATCGCCGACTTGAATGTAGTCGGCGTTTCCCCCACTGAATCAACGATGTAGGCTGCTTCAAAATCCATTGCAGCCGCTGACACATGCTCAAGCGACGGACCTCTGTATGTTCTTCGCTTGGGACTTGGAATGACGGTAGCTTTCTCAAGTGATTGAGTGCGCGTGTGTCTCTTGATGTTGCTCTTCGAAGACCTGGTGTCTTCGTTGTCATCGTCGCTCGAGTCCATGTCGTCGTCAGTTTTACCTTCTTCTTTTTCTTCGTCCTCATCATGATCATCAAACTCAACGACACTTGACTCATCGTTGTAGTTGCGCGGACCTTCATCAAACTTGTCTTCCATGAATGTGGCATCGCGACTGATCTTGATCGCTCCTGTTGACACTTCCTCAAATCGATATGACTTCTGGTGTTCGGCGTATCCCAGGAAACGACAGAGTGATGACTTGGAGTCGAACTTCGCGCGTTTGTCTTGAGGCACTTGAACATACGCGTGGCATCCAAACACTTTAAGGTTGGCCAGAATCAGTTTCTTCATCGTCCACACTTGATATGGAGACTTGTCTTGGTGAATGGCACGTGTTGGACAGCGGTTTCGAAGAAACATCGCCGTCATCACTGCTTCACCCCAGTAGCTCTTTCCCAGTCCAGCGTGTTCCATCATGCAACGCGCACACTCGACCAGCGTGCGATTCATTCTCTCAGCTACTCCGTTTAGCTGAGGAGTATATGGGGGGTGTGAACCTTTGTTGTATTCCCCCGTTCCGCGCAGAATCGTGCCAGCTTGTCGGACTTGTATTCACCCCCATTGTCGCTTTGAAGGTACTTCACGCGCTTTCCGGTTTGCGTTTCGGCCATCGCAGCGTATTCCATGAACTTCGCCGCAACTTCAGATTTGCTCTTGAGCAGATAGACGACACAGTATCTTGACTCGTCATCGATGAATGTCACGAAGTACCGTTTTCCACTGAAAGTTGCCATCGACATCGGTCCGCATACGTCGCTGTGAATCACTTCGAGGAGTTTGGAGGTGCGAGCTGTAGTGTTTGATTGGAAGCGCACTCGAGTCTGTTTTCCCAGAGCACAACCTTCACACACGTCCCACTTCTTCACCGAAGATATGTCGATGCCAATTCCAATGTTCTTCGTCACGATGCAATTGAGTCCATCGTGACCTATGTGGCCAAGCCGAAGGTGCCAGAGGTACGACTTGGTGCCCCCTTGACATCCCGACGACTTGGCTGCATTTGCTTGTTCCGGCGCCACTGGAGTCATTTGCAGCTTGAACAGTCCTTTACCTTCACGGGCACCAATTTTCCACTTGGTCCCTTTCGCTTCTCCATAGCACCCATCCTTCGTGAACGTCACTGGGCCGACATCCTTGGTGAAGCGGCCGACCGAGAACAGGTTTCTGGATAACTTTGGGATGTGCCACACGTTTGTGAGCACACCTTTCTTCATCCCTTGGGGGTGTCTTCATCGACATGACAATGTCCCCACTGCCGATTGCTTGGACGATTCCATCATCCGCGAGATGGACATCCACAGCGTCAAACCCCTTGTAGTTCCGCATGAACTTCTTGGAGCACGTCATGTGCTGCGTCGCCCCGGAGTCGACCAGCCAGATGTCGCTCGATTTCGCAGATGTCGTTTCACCGATCGAAAAGAGGTAGTCGCCCGAGTCTTCTTCTTGAGCGACGTTTGCACGTTGTGATCGATAGCGGTCGCCGCTGTCTTGAGCACGCTGTGGCCGGTGTCTCTCCGTGTTTTCTTGGATGCGCGAGGGGCACTCCGCCATCCAGTGACCAATCTTTCCGCAATTGTGGCACGGCCAGGACTTCTTCACTGGTCGCCCTTTGCGCTGATTGTCCCTTGTGATGAACGCTTGACCTTGCGAAGCTTCATCACCTTTACTTCCTTGCTCCTTCCGCTTCATTTCTTCATGAAGCAGTCGAGACGTCACGAGCTCCCAGCTAAGAGTGTCTGAGCGCGACTCCAAAGCTGTGATCAAGAATTGATACGAGTCACTCAGGCTGCCGAGGAGTGTGATCACCAGATCGTCCTCGCAGACTGGAGCCCCCACCGCTTCTAGCTGTTCCGCCAGCGTCTTGAGCTTGTTGATGTGTTCGAGCACATCGTCGCCTTCTTCCATCATTGTCGTGAAGAAGCGACGGCGCAAGAACAGCTTGTTGGCAAGACTCTTCTTCTCGAAGTGGTCTTCCAACCTTGACCATGCGTCGCATGCACCACTTGCCGACCGGACCAACGGTAGCTGGGAATCTTCCATGGCTAGACAGATCACTGCCATCGCCTTTCTTGACTTCCTCTTGTACGTCGCTTGGTCCAACTGAGTCTCGCACTGTTCCGCCTTGATCTCACCGCTGACGACCTCCCATAGGTCCCGTTCCTCCAGCACCATCTGCATCTTGAACTTCCAGGCGTGGAAGTTAGTTCCATCGAACTTGGAGATGCGGAGGGAGGAGGCGTCCATGGCAGCTAAGCTTGAATTGTTGGCGGTTTCAGAGTCTGACGAACTTGGGCTCATAACCTGATGAACTTTAGACTTCTTGGTCCGAGTGCAAAACGCAAAGTGAATATATATTTATAATAGGTACTTAGTTCGCAACTTTGAATACTACCTCTAAGCCTATTATTCGCAGTGACGTCATCCAGTGACGTCACCCACTGACGTCACCCACTGACGTCATGCAATGACGTCATCCAGTGACGTCATTTCCTGACTTCGCCCTTACTGGTACATACCGGTACCCACCGGTATAGCGAAGCTTGGTCTTCCACTTGCTTCAACACTTGACGCAGCTTGACGAGGTGTCTTCTTCACAGCCGCTGTCTTTTCAACAGTGCTCAGTATGGCGGCTAAGTACGGCCTAATGCTACATCAGATGGACGTCAAGACAGCGTTTCTTAACGGCTCCCTCAACGAAGACATCTACATGGACCAGCCGGACGGATACCTGGATGCAACACAGCCGGACTATGTGTGCAAGCTAAAGAGATCACTCTACGGCTTGAAGCAATCGCCTCGCATGTGGAACCAAACAATCGATGGGTTCATGATCAAGATGGGATTCAAGAAGTGCGAATCGAACCACTGCATCTACATCAAGCGAGACGACCAAGACATGATTCTCGTGGTGCTCTACGTCGATGATCTCATCCTGGCCAGCAGCAACAACGAACTCCTCAAGTCAACCAAGATGGCGCTGAGCAAACGCTTCGAAATGACGGATCTCGGTGAGCTCGATTACTTTCTCGGCATGGAGATCAAGAACGACCGTAAGACGGGAATGGTGACTGTACAACAAACCAAGTTTCTCAAGTCCGTGTTAACCAAGTTCGGAATGGATAACAGCAAGCCAGTGAAGACGCCTCAAGATCCCGGCCTGAAGCTAACCAAGAACATGTGTGAACAAGAATGCAAGCACGAAGACACCATGTGCAACGTGCCATATCGAAGTGCTGTCGGAGGCATCATGTATCTCATGGTCGCCACACGTCCGGATCTAGCTGCTGCAGTGGGATCATTATCCCAGTTCTCGTCCGACCCATGCCCGACTCACTGGCAAGCTTTGAAGCGTGTGCTGAGATACCTGCAAGCAACGCCCAATCATGGTCTTGAGTTTACACGTGAAGAAGGAAGCCGTATCTGCGGGTACACCGACGCAGACTGGGCCGGCGACATTGAGTCAAGACGAAGTACAAGCGGCTATGTGTTCATGATGAGCGGAGGATGCATCAGCTGGAAAAGCCAGAAACAACGGACGGTCGCGCTATCTTCAACAGAAGCAGAATACATGGCGCTTTCCGAAGCAACCAAAGAAGCAGTATGGCTCAAAGTGCTTTTGGGGGAACTTGGTGAGATGACAAGCGACGAAGCGATCAAGATGTATGAAGACTGATGAACTTTAGACTTCTTGGTCCGAGTGCAAAACGCAAAGTGAATATATATTTATAATAGGTACTTAGTTCGCAACTTTGAATACTACCTCTAAGCCTATTATTCGCAGTGACGTCATCCAGTGACGTCACCCACTGACGTCATTTCCTGACTTCGCCCTTACTGGTACATACCGGTACCCACCGGTATAGCGAAGCTTGGTCTTCCACTTGCTTCAACACTTGACGCAGCTTGACGAGGTGTCTTCTTCACAGCCGCTGTCTTTTCAACACTCCCTCTCGACTCGTTAGCTGCGGCACCTTGGATCCCAAGTCGATCGCGAATGTTTTCAAATTGTACAGCGGCGATCGGCTTGGTCATCATGTCTGCCAGCATATCTTGAGTCGGGCAATACTCCAAAACGACTTCACCTGATTCCACCTTCTCACGCACAAAATGGTAGCGTATGTCGATGTGTTTTGTTCTCTTATGGAACTCCGGGTTCTTGGCGAGAGCGATTGATCCTTGGTTGTCTTCATACATCTTGATCGCTTCGTCGCTTGTCATCTCACCAAGTTCCCCAAAAGCACTTTGAGCCATACTGCTTCTTTGGTTGCTTCGGAAAGCGCCATGTATTCTGCTTCTGTTGAAGATAGCGCGACCGTCCGTTGTTTCTGGCTTTTCCAGCTGATGCATCCTCCGCTCATCATGAACACATAGCCGCTTGTACTTCGTCTTGACTCAATGTCACCGGCCCAGTCTGCGTCGGTGTACCCGCAGATACGGCTTCCTTCTTCACGTGTAAACTCAAGACCATGATTGGGCGTTGCTTGCAGGTATCTCAGCACACGCTTCAAAGCTTGCCAGTGAGTCGGGCATGGGTCGGACGAGAACTGGGATAATGATCCCACTGCAGCAGCTAGATCCGGACGTGTGGCGACCATGAGATACATGATGCCTCCGACAGCACTTCGATATGGCACGTTGCACATGGTGTCTTCGTGCTTGCATTCTTGTTCACACATGTTCTTGGTTAGCTTCAGGCCGGGATCTTGAGGCGTCTTCACTGGCTTGCTGTTATCCATTCCGAACTTGGTTAACACGGACTTGAGAAACTTGGTTTGTTGTACAGTCACCATTCCCGTCTTACGGTCGTTCTTGATCTCCATGCCGAGAAAGTAATCGAGCTCACCGAGATCCGTCATTTCGAAGCGTTTGCTCAGCGCCATCTTGGTTGACTTGAGGAGTTCGTTGTTGCTGCTGGCCAGGATGAGATCATCGACGTAGAGCACCACGAGAATCATGTCTTGGTCGTCTCGCTTGATGTAGATGCAGTGGTCCGATTCGCACTTCTTGAATCCCATCTTGATCATGAACCCATCGATTGTTTGGTTCCACATGCGAGGCGATTGCTTCAAGCCGTAGAGTGATCTCTTTAGCTTGCACACATAGTCCGGCTGTGTTGCATCCAGGTATCCGTCCGGCTGTGTTGCATCCAGGTATCCGTCCGGCTGGTCCATGTAGATGTCTTCGTTGAGGGAGCCGTTAAGAAACGCTGTCTTGACGTCCATCTGATGTAGCATTAGGCCGTACTTGGCCGCCATACTGAGCACCACACGAATCGATGTGAACTTGGCCACCGGTGCGAAAGTTTCTTCATAGTCGACTCCGAATTTCTGTGAGAATACTTTGGCCACAAGTCTTGCCTTGAAACGTTCAACTTCGCCATCTTGATTCTCCTTTACACGAAAAACCCATCGGCACCCGATGGCCTTGCGACCTTCGGAAGAGGCACGATTTCCCACGTGTCGTTTCTCTGAAGCGAATCGAACTCCGAGTCACACGCTTCTTTCCACTTGCCGGAGTCGCTTGATTCCATAGCCGACTTGACCGTGATCGGCGTTTCCCCCACTGAATCCATGATGTACGCTGCTTCAAAATCCATTGCAGCCGCTGAAACATGCTCAAGCGACGGACCTCTGTATGTTCTTCGCTTGGGACTTGGAATGACGGTAGCTTTCTCAAGTGATTGAGTGCGCGTGTGTCTCTTGATGTTGCTCTTCGAAGACCTGGTGTCTTCGTTGTCATCGTCGCTCGAGTCCATGTCGTCGTCAGTTTTACCTTCTTTTTCTTCGTCCTCATCATGATCATCAAACTCAACGACACTTGACTCATCGTTGTAGTTGCGCGGACCTTCATCAAACTTGTCTTCCATGAATGTGGCATCGCGACTGATCTTGATCGCTCCTGTTGACACTTCCTCAAATCGATATGACTTCTGGTGTTCGGCGTATCCCAGGAAACGACAGAGTGATGACTTGGAGTCGAACTTCGCGCGTTTGTCTTGAGGCACTTGAACATACGCGTGGCATCCAAACACTTTAAGGTTGGCCAGAATCGGTTTCTTCATCGTCCACACTGATGAACTTTAGACTTCTTGGTCCGAGTGCAAAACGCAAAGGAATATATATTTATAATAGGTACTTAGTTCGCAACTTTGAATACTACCTCTAAGCCTATTATTCGCAGTGACGTCATCCAGTGACGTCACCCACTGACGTCACCCACTGACGTGATGCAATGACGTCATCCAGTGACGTCATTTCCTGACTTCGCCCTTACTGGTACATACCGGTACCCACCGGTATAGCGAAGCTTGGTCTTCCACTTGCTTCAACACTTGACGCAGCTTGACGAGGTGTCTTCTTCACAGCCGCTGTCTTTTCAACACTCCCTCTCGACTCGTTAGCTGCGGCATCTTGGATCCCAAGTCGATCGCGAATGTTTTCAAATTGTACAGCGGCGATCGGCTTGGTCATCATGTCTGCCAGCATATCTTGAGTCGGGCAATACTCCAAAACGACTTCACCTGATTCCACCTTCTCACGCACAAAATGGTAGCGTATGTCGATGTGTTTTGTTCTCTTATGGAACTCCGGGTTCTTGGCGAGAGCGATTGATCCTTGGTTGTCTTCATACATCTTGATCGCTTCGTCGCTTGTCATCTCACCAAGTTCCCCCAAAAGCACCTTGAGCCATACTGCTTCTTTGGTTGCTTCGGAAAGCGCCATGTATTCTGCTTCTGTTGAAGATAGCGCGACCGTCCGTTGTTTCTGGCTTTTCCAGCTGATGCATCCTCCGCTCATCATGAACACATAGCCGCTTGTACTTCGTCTTGACTCAATGTCGCCGGCCCAGTCTGCGTCGGTGTACCCGCAGATACGGCTTCCTTCTTCACGTGTAAACTCAAGACCATGATTGGGCGTTGCTTGCAGGTATCTCAGCACACGCTTCAAAGCTTGCCAGTGAGTCGGGCATGGGTCGGACGAGAACTGGGATAATGATCCCACTGCAGCAGCTAGATCCGGACGTGTGGCGACCATGAGATACATGATGCCTCCGACAGCACTTCGATATGGCACGTTGCACATGGTGTCTTCGTGCTTGCATTCTTGTTCACACATGTTCTTGGTTAGCTTCAGGCCGGGATCTTGAGGCGTCTTCACTGGCTTGCTGTTATCCATTCCGAACTTGGTTAACACGGACTTGAGAAACTTGGTTTGTTGTACAGTCACCATTCCCGTCTTACGGTCGTTCTTGATCTCCATGCCGAGAAAGTAATCGAGCTCACCGAGATCCGTCATTTCGAAGCGTTTGCTCAGCGCCATCTTGGTTGACTTGAGGAGTTCGTTGTTGCTGCTGGCCAGGATGAGATCATCGACGTAGAGCACCACGAGAATCATGTCTTGGTCGTCTCGCTTGATGTAGATGCAGTGGTCCGATTCGCACTTCTTGAATCCCATCTTGATCATGAACCCATCGATTGTTTGGTTCCACATGCGAGGCGATTGCTTCAAGCCGTAGAGTGATCTCTTTAGCTTGCACACATAGTCCGGCTGTGTTGCATCCAGGTATCCGTCCGGCTGGTCCATGTAGATGTCTTCGTTGAGGGAGCCGTTAAGAAACGCTGTCTTGACGTCCATCTGATGTAGCATTAGGCCGTACTTAGCGGCCATACTGAGCACCACACGAATCGATGTGAACTTGGCCACCGGTGCGAAAGTTTCTTCATAGTCAGCTCCGAATTTCTGTGAGAATCCTTTGGCCACAAGTCTTGCCTTGAAACGTTCAACTTCGCCATCTTGATTCTCCTTTACACGAAAAACCCATCGGCACCCGATGGCCTTGCGACCTTTCGGAAGAGGCACGATTTCCCACGTGTCGTTTCTCTGAAGCGAATCGAACTCCGAGTCACACGCTTCTTTCTGATGAACTTTAGACTTCTTGGTCCGAGTGCAAAACGCAAAGTGAATATATATTTATAATAGGTACTTAGTTCGCAACTTTGAATACTACCTCTAAGCCTATTATTCGCAGTGACGTCATCCAGTGACGTCACCCACTGACGTCACCCACTGACGTCATGCAATGACGTCATCCAGTGACGTCATTTCCTGACTTCGCCCTTACTGGTACATACCGGTACCCACCGGTATAGCGAAGCTTGGTCTTCCACTTGCTTCAACACTTGACGCAGCTTGACGAGGTGTCTTCTTCACAGCCGCTGTCTTTTCAACACTCCCTCTCGACTCGTTAGCTGCGGCATCTTGGATCCCAAGTCGATCGCGAATGTTTTCAAATTGTACAGCGGCGATCGGCTTGGTCATCATGTCTGCCAGCATATCTTGAGTCGGGCAATACTCCAAAACGACTTCACCTGATTCCACCTTCTCACGCACAAAATGGTAGCGTATGTCGATGTGTTTTGTTCTCTTATGGAACTCCGGGTTCTTGGCGAGAGCGATTGATCCTTGGTTGTCTTCATACATCTTGATCGCTTCGTCGCTTGTCATCTCACCAAGTTCCCCCAAAAGCACCTTGAGCCATACTGCTTCTTTGGTTGCTTCGGAAAGCGCCATGTATTCTGCTTCTGTTGAAGATAGCGCGACCGTCCGTTGTTTCTGGCTTTTCCAGCTGATGCATCCTCCGCTCATCATGAACACATAGCCGCTTGTACTTCGTCTTGACTCAATGTCGCCGGCCCAGTCTGCGTCGGTGTACCCGCAGATACGGCTTCCTTCTTCACGTGTAAACTCAAGACCATGATTGGGCGTTGCTTGCAGGTATCTCAGCACACGCTTCAAAGCTTGCCAGTGAGTCGGGCATGGGTCGGACGAGAACTGGGATAATGATCCCACTGCAGCAGCTAGATCCGGACGTGTGGCGACCATGAGATACATGATGCCTCCGACAGCACTTCGATATGGCACGTTGCACATGGTGTCTTCGTGCTTGCATTCTTGTTCACACATGTTCTTGGTTAACTTCAGGCCGGGATCTTGAGGCGTCTTCACTGGCTTGCTGTTATCCATTCCGAACTTGGTTAACACGGACTTGAGAAACTTGGTTTGTTGTACAGTCACCATTCCCGTCTTACGGTCGTTCTTGATCTCCATGCCGAGAAAGTAATCGAGCTCACCGAGATCCGTCATTTCGAAGCGTTTGCTCAGCGCCATCTTGGTTGACTTGAGGAGTTCGTTGTTGCTGCTGGCCAGGATGAGATCATCGACGTAGAGCACCACGAGAATCATGTCTTGGTCGTCTCGCTTGATGTAGATGCAGTGGTCCGATTCGCACTTCTTGAATCCCATCTTGATCATGAACCCATCGATTGTTTGGTTCCACATGCGAGGCGATTGCTTCAAGCCGTAGAGTGATCTCTTTAGCTTGCACACATAGTCCGGCTGTGTTGCATCCAGGTATCCGTCCGGCTGGTCCATGTAGATGTCTTCGTTGAGGGAGCCGTTAAGAAACGCTGTCTTGACGTCCATCTGATGTAGCATTAGGCCGTACTTAGCGGCCATACTGAGCACCACACGAATCGATGTGAACTTGGCCACCGGTGCGAAAGTTTCTTCATAGTCAGCTCCGAATTTCTGTGAGAATCCTTTGGCCACAAGTCTTGCCTTGAAACGTTCAACTTCGCCATCTTGATTCTCCTTTACACGAAAAACCCATCGGCACCCGATGGCCTTGCGACCTTTCGGAAGAGGCACGATTTCCCACGTGTCGTTTCTCTGAAGCGAATCGAACTCCGAGTCACACGCTTCTATCTGATGAACTTTAGACTTCTTGGTCCGAGTGCAAAACGCAAAGTGAATATATATTTATAATAGGTACTTAGTTCGCAACTTTGAATACTACCTCTAAGCCTATTATTCGCAGTGACGTCATCCAGTGACGTCACCCACTGACGTCACCCACTGACGTCATGCAATGACGTCATCCAGTGACGTCATTTCCTGACTTCGCCCTTACTGGTACATACCGGTACCCACCGGTATAGCGAAGCTTGGTCTTCCACTTGCTTCAACACTTGACGCAGCTTGACGAGGTGTCTTCTTCACAGCCGCTGTCTTTTCAACACTCCCTCTCGACTCGTTAGCTGCGGCACCTTGGATCCCAAGTCGATCGCGAATGTTTTCAAATTGTACAGCGGCGATCGGCTTGGTCATCATGTCTGCCAGCATATCTTGAGTCGGGTAATACTCCAAAACGACTTCACCTGATTCCACCTTCTCACGCACAAAATGGTAGCATATGTCGATGTGTTTTGTTCTCTTATGGAACTCCGGGTTCTTGGCGAGAGCGATTGATCCTTGGTTGTCTTCATACATCTTGATCGCTTCGTCGCTTGTCATCTCACCAAGTTCCCCCAAAAGCACCTTGAGCCATACTGCTTCTTTGGTTGCTTCGGAAAGCGCCATGTATTCTGCTTCTGTTGAAGATAGCGCGACCGTCCGTTGTTTCTGGCTTTTCCAGCTGATGCATCCTCCGCTCATCATGAACACATAGCCGCTTGTACTTCGTCTTGACTCAATGTCGCCGGCCCAGTCTGCGTCGGTGTACCCGCAGATACGGCTTCCTTCTTCACGTGTAAACTCAAGACCATGATTGGGCGTTGCTTGCAGGTATCTCAGCACACGCTTCAAAGCTTGCCAGTGAGTCGGGCATGGGTCGGACGAGAACTGGGATAATGATCCCACTGCAGCAGCTAGATCCGGACGTGTGGCGACCATGAGATACATGATGCCTCCGACAGCACTTCGATATGGCACGTTGCACATGGTGTCTTCGTGCTTGCATTCTTGTTCACACATGTTCTTGGTTAGCTTCAGGCCGGGATCTTGAGGCGTCTTCACTGGCTTGCTGTTATCCATTCCGAACTTGGTTAACACGGACTTGAGAAACTTGGTTTGTTGTACAGTCACCATTCCCGTCTTACGGTCGTTCTTGATCTCCATGCCGAGAAAGTAATCGAGCTCACCGAGATCCGTCATTTCGAAGCGTTTGCTCAGCGCCATCTTGGTTGACTTGAGGAGTTCGTTGTTGCTGCTGGCCAGGATGAGATCATCGACGTAGAGCACCACGAGAATCATGTCTTGGTCGTCTCGCTTGATGTAGATGCAGTGGTCCGATTCGCACTTCTTGAATCCCATCTTGATCATGAACCCATCGATTGTTTGGTTCCACATGCGAGGCGATTGCTTCAAGCCGTAGAGTGATCTCTTTAGCTTGCACACATAGTCCGGCTGTGTTGCATCCAGGTATCCGTTCGGCTGGTCCATGTAGATGTCTTCGTTGAGGGAGCCGTTAAGAAACGCTGTCTTGACGTCCATCTGATGTAGCATTAGGCCGTACTTGGCCGCCATACTGAGCACCACACGAATCGATGTGAACTTGGCCACCGGTGCGAAAGTTTCTTCATAGTCAACTCCGAATTTCTGTGAGAATCCTTTGGCCACAAGTCTTGCCTTGAAACGTTCAACTTCGCCATCTTGATTCTCCTTTACACGAAAAACCCATCGGCACCCGATGGCCTTGCGACCTTTCGGAAGAGGCACGATTTCCCACGTGTCGTTTCTCTGAAGCGAATCGAACTCCGAGTCACACGCTTCTTTCCACTTGCCGGAGTCGCTTGATTCCATCGCCGACTTGAATGTAGTCGGCGTTTCCCCCACTGAATCAACGATGTAGGCTGCTTCAAAATCCATTGCAGCCGCTGACACATGCTCAAGCGACGGACCTCTGTATGTTCTTCGCTTGGGACTTGGAATGACGGTAGCTTTCTCAAGTGATTGAGTGCGCGTGTGTCTCTTGATGTTGCTCTTCGAAGACCTGGTGTCTTCGTTGTCATCGTCGCTCGAGTCCATGTCGTCGTCAGTTTTACCTTCTTCTTTTTCTTCGTCCTCATCATGATCATCAAACTCAACGACACTTGACTCATCGTTGTAGTTGCGCGGACCTTCATCAAACTTGTCTTCCATGAATGTGGCATCGCGACTGATCTTGATCGCTCCTGTTGACACTTCCTCAAATCGATATGACTTCTGGTGTTCGGCGTATCCCAGGAAACGACAGAGTGATGACTTGGAGTCGAACTTCGCGCGTTTGTCTTGAGGCACTTGAACATACGCGTGGCATCCAAACACTTTAAGGTTGGCCAGAATCGGTTTCTTCATCGTCCACACTTGATATGGAGACTTGTCTTGGTGAATGGCACGTGTTGGACAGCGGTTTCGAAGAAACATCGCCGTCATCACTGCTTCACCCCAGTAGCTCTTTCCCAGTCCAGCGTGTTCCTGTTGAAAAGACAGCGGCTGTGAAGAAGACACCTCGTCAAGCTGCGTCAAGTGTTGAAGCAAGTGGAAGACCAAGCTTCGCTATACCGGTGGGTACCGGTATGTACCAGTAAGGGCGAAGTCAGGAAATGACGTCACTGGATGACGTCATTGCATGACGTCAGTGGGTGACGTCAGTGGGTGACGTCAGTGGGTGACGTCACTGGATGACGTCACTGCGAATAATAGGCTTAGAGGTAGTATTCAAAGTTGCGAACTAAGTACCTATTATAAATATATATTCACTTTGCGTTTTGCACTCGGACCAAGAAGTCTAAAGTTCATCAGGTTATGAGCCCAAGTTCGTCAGACTCTGAAACCGCCAACAATTCAAGCTTAGCTGCCATGGACGCCTCCTCCCTCCGCATCTCCAAGTTCGATGGAACTAACTTCCACGCCTGGAAGTTCAAGATGCAGATGGTGCTGGAGGAACGGGACCTATGGGAGGTCGTCAGCGGTGAGATCAAGGCGGAACAGTGCGAGACTCAGTTGGACCAAGCGACGTACAAGAGGAAGTCAAGAAAGGCGATGGCAGTGATCTGTCTAGCCATGGAAGATTCCCAGCTACCGTTGGTCCGGTCGGCAAGTGGTGCATGCGACGCATGGTCAAGGTTGGAAGACCACTTCGAGAAGAAGAGTCTTGCCAACAAGCTGTTCTTGCGCCGTCGCTTCTTCACGACAATGATGGAAGAAGGCGACGATGTGCTCGAACACATCAACAAGCTCAAGACGCTGGCGGAACAGCTAGAAGCGGTGGGGGCTCCAGTCTGCGAGGACGATCTGGTGATCACACTCCTCGGCAGCCTGAGTGACTCGTATCAATTCTTGATCACAGCTTTGGAGTCGCGCTCAGACACTCTTAGCTGGGAGCTCGTGACGTCTCGACTGCTTCATGAAGAAATGAAGCGGAGGGAGCAAGGAAGTAAAGGTGATGAAGCTTCGCAAGGTCAAGCGTTCATCACAAGGGACAATCAGCGCAAAGGGCGACCAGTGAAGAAGTCCTGGCCGAGCCACAATTGCGGAAAGATTGGTCACTGGATGGCGGAGTGCCCCTCGCGCATCCAAGAAAACACGGAGAGACACCGGCCACAGCGTGCTCAAGACAGCGGCGACCGCTATCGATCACAACGTGCAAACGTCGCTCAAGAAGAAGACTCGGGCGACTACCTCTTTTCGATCGGTGAAACGACATCTGCGAAATCGAGCGACATCTGGCTGGTCGACTCCGGGGCGACGCAGCACATGACGTGCTCCAAGAAGTTCATGCGGAACTACAAGGGGTTTGACGCTGTGGATGTCCATCTCGCGGATGATGGAATCGTCCAAGCAATCGGCAGTGGGGACATTGTCATGTCGATGAAGACACCCCAAGGGATGAAGAAAGGTGTGCTCACAAACGTGTGGCACATCCCAAAGTTATCCAGAAACCTGTTCTCGGTCGGCCGCTTCACCAAGGATGTCGGCCCAGTGACGTTCACGAAGGATGGGTGCTATGGAGAAGCGAAAGGGACCAAGTGGAAAATTGGTGCCCGTGAAGGTAAAGGACTGTTCAAGCTGCAAATGACTCCAGTGGCGCCGGAACAAGCAAATGCAGCCAAGTCGTCGGGATGTCAAGGGGGCACCAAGTCGTACCTCTGGCACCTTCGGCTTGGCCACATAGGTCACGATGGACTCAATTGCATCGTGACGAAGAACATTGGAATTGGCATCGACATATCTTCGGTGAAGAAGTGGGACGTGTGTGAAGGTTGTGCTCTGGGAAAACAGACTCGAGTGCGCTTCCAATCAAACACTACAGCTCGCACCTCCAAACTCCTCGAAGTGATTCACAGCGACGTATGCGGACCGATGTCGATGGCAACTTTCAGTGGAAAACGGTACTTCGTGACATTCATTGATGACAAGTCAAGATACTGTGTCGTCTATCTGCTCAAGAGCAAATCTGAAGTTGCGGCGAAGTTCATGGAATACGCTGCGATGGCCGAAACGCAAACCGGAAAGCGCGTGAAGTACCTTCAAAGCGACAATGGGGGTGAATACAAGTCCGACAAGCTGGCACGATTCTGCGCGGAACGGGGAATACAACAAAGGTTCACACCCCCATATACTCCTCAGCTAAACGGAGTAGCTGAGAGAATGAATCGCACGCTGGTCGAGTGTGCGCGTTGCATGATGGAACACGCTGGACTGGGAAAGAGCTACTGGGGTGAAGCAGTGATGACGGCGATGTTTCTTCGAAACCGCTGTCCAACACGTGCCATTCACCAAGACAAGTCTCCATATCAAGTGTGGACGATGAAGAAACCGATTCTGGCCAACCTTAAAGTGTTTGGATGCCACGCGTATGTTCAAGTGCCTCAAGACAAACGCGCGAAGTTCGACTCCAAGTCATCACTCTGTCGTTTCCTGGGATACGCCGAACACCAGAAGTCATATCTGTTGAAAAGACAGCGGCTGTGAAGAAGACACCTCGTCAAGCTGCGTCAAGTGTTGAAGCAAGTGGAAGACCAAGCTTCGCTATACCGGTGGGTACCGGTATGTACCAGTAAGGGCGAAGTCAGGAAATGACGTCACTGGATGACGTCATTGCATAACGTCAGTGGGTGACGTCAGTGGGTGACGTCACTGGATGACGTCACTGCGAATAATAGGCTTAGAGGTAGTATTCAAAGTTGCGAACTAAGTACCTATTATAAATATATATTCACTTTGCGTTTTGCACTCGGACCAAGAAGTCTAAAGTTCATCAGGTTATGAGCCCAAGTTCGTCAGACTCTGAAACCGCCAACAATTCAAGCTTAGCTGCCATGGACGCCTCCTCCCTCCGCATCTCCAAGTTCGATGGAACTAACTTCCACGCCTGGAAGTTCAAGATGCAGATGGTGCTGGAGGAACGGGACCTATGGGAGGTCGTCAGCGGTGAGATCAAGGCGGAACAGTGCGAGACTCAGTTGGACCAAGCGACGTACAAGAGGAAGTCAAGAAAGGCGATGGCAGTGATCTGTCTAGCCATGGAAGATTCCCAGCTACCGTTGGTCCGGTCGGCAAGTGGTGCATGCGACGCATGGTCAAGGTTGGAAGACCACTTCGAGAAGAAGAGTCTTGCCAACAAGCTGTTCTTGCGCCGTCGCTTCTTCACGACAATGATGGAAGAAGGCGACGATGTGCTCGAACACATCAACAAGCTCAAGACGCTGGCGGAACAGCTAGAAGCGGTGGGGGGCTCCAGTCTGCGAGGACGATCTGGTGATCACACTCCTCGGCAGCCTGAGTGACTCGTATCAATTCTTGATCACAGCTTTGGAGTCGCGCTCAGACACTCTTAGCTGGGAGCTCGTGACGTCTCGACTGCTTCATGAAGAAATGAAGCGGAAGGAGCAAGGAAGTAAAGGTGATGAAGCTTCGCAAGGTCAAGCGTTCATCACAAGGGACAATCAGCGCAAAGGGCGACCAGTGAAGAAGTCCTGGCCGTGCCACAATTGCGGAAAGATTGGTCACTGGATGGCGGAGTGCCCCTCGCGCATCCAAGAAAACACGGAGAGACACCGGCCACAGCGTGCTCAAGACAGCGGCGACCGCTATCGATCACAACGTGCAAACGTCGCTCAAGAAGAAGACTCGGGCGACTACCTCTTTTCGATCGGTGAAACGACATCTGCGAAATCGAGCGACATCTGGCTGGTCGACTCCGGGGCGACGCAGCACATGACGTGCTCCAAGAAGTTCATGCGGAACTACAAGGGGTTTGACGCTGTGGATGTCCATCTCGCGGATGATGGAATCGTCCAAGCAATCGGCAGTGGGGACATTGTCATGTCGATGAAGACACCCCAAGGGATGAAGAAAGGTGTGCTCACAAACGTGTGGCACATCCCAAAGTTATCCAGAAACCTGTTCTCGGTCGGCCGCTTCACCAAGGATGTCGGCCCAGTGACGTTCACGAAGGATGGGTGCTATGGAGAAGCGAAAGGGACCAAGTGGAAAATTGGTGCCCGTGAAGGTAAAGGACTGTTCAAGCTGCAAATGACTCCAGTGGCGCCGGAACAAGCAAATGCAGCCAAGTCGTCGGGATGTCAAGGGGGCACCAAGTCGTACCTCTGGCACCTTCGGCTTGGCCACATAGGTCACGATGGACTCAATTGCATCGTGACGAAGAACATTGAATTGGCATCGACATATCTTCGGTGAAGAAGTGGGACGTGTGTGAAGGTTGTGCTCTGGGAAAACAGACTCGAGTGCGCTTCCAATCAAACACTACAGCTCGCACCTCCAAACTCCTCGAAGTGATTCACAGCGACGTATGCGGACCGATGTCGATGGCAACTTTCAGTGGAAAACGGTACTTCGTGACATTCATTGATGACAAGTCAAGATACTGTGTCGTCTATCTGCTCAAGAGCAAATCTGAAGTTGCGGCGAAGTTCATGGAATACGCTGCGATGGCCGAAACGCAAACCGGAAAGCGCGTGAAGTACCTTCAAAGCGACAATGGGGGTGAATACAAGTCCGACAAGCTGGCACGATTCTGCGCGGAACGGGGAATACAACAAAGGTTCACACCCCCATATACTCCTCAGCTAAACGGAGTAGCTGAGAGAATGAATCGCACGCTGGTCGAGTGTGCGCGTTGCATGATGGAACACGCTGGACTGGGAAAGAGCTACTGGGGTGAAGCAGTGATGACGGCGATGTTTCTTCGAAACCGCTGTCCAACACGTGCCATTCACCAAGACAAGTCTCCATATCAAGTGTGGACGATGAAGAAACCGATTCTGGCCAACCTTAAAGTGTTTGGATGCCACGCGTATGTTCAAGTGCCTCAAGACAAACGCGCGAAGTTCGACTCCAAGTCATCACTCTGTCGTTTCCTGGGATACGCCGAACACCAGAAGTCATATCGATTTGAGGAAGTGTCAACAGGAGCGATCAAGATCAGTCGCGATGCCACATTCATGGAAGACAAGTTTGATGAAGGTCCGCGCAACTACAACGATGAGTCAAGTGTCGTTGAGTTTGATGATCATGATGAGGACGAAGAAAAAGAAGAAGGTAAAACTGACGACGACATGGACTCGAGCGACGATGACAACGAAGACACCAGGTCTTCGAAGAGCAACATCAAGAGACACACGCGCACTCAATCACTTGAGAAAGCTACCGTCATTCCAAGTCCCAAGCGAAGAACATACAGAGGTCCGTCGCTTGAGCATGTGTCAGCGGCTGCAATGGATTTTGAAGCAGCCTACATCGTTGATTCAGTGGGGGAAACGCCGACTACATTCAAGTCGGCGATGGAATCAAGCGACTCCGGCAAGTGGAAAGAAGCGTGTGACTCGGAGTTCGATTCGCTTCAGAGAAACGACACGTGGGAAATCGTGCCTCTTCCGAAAGGTCGCAAGGCCATCGGGTGCCGATGGGTTTTTCGTGTAAAGGAGAATCAAGATGGCGAAGTTGAACGTTTCAAGGCAAGACTTGTGGCCAAAGGATTCTCACAGAAATTCGGAGTTGACTATGAAGAAACTTTCGCACCGGTGGCCAAGTTCACATCGATTCGTGTGGTGCTCAGTATGGCGGCTAAGTACGGCCTAATGCTACATCAGATGGACGTCAAGACAGCGTTTCTTAACGGCTCCCCTCAACGAAGACATCTACATGGACCAGCCGGACGGATACCTGGATGCAACACAGCCGGACTATGTGTGCAAGCTAAAGAGATCACTCTACGGCTTGAAGCAATCGCCTCGCATGTGGAACCAAACAATCGATGGGTTCATGATCAAGATGGGATTCAAGAAGTGCGAATCGGACCACTGCATCTACATCAAGCGAGACGACCAAGACATGATTCTCGTGGTGCTCTACGTCGATGATCTCATCCTGGCCAGCAGCAACAACGAACTCCTCAAGTCAACCAAGATGGCGCTGAGCAAACGCTTCGAAATGACGGATCTCGGTGAGCTCGATTACTTTCTCGGCATGGAGATCAAGAACGACCGTAAGACGGGAATGGTGACTGTACAACAAACCAAGTTTCTCAAGTCCGTGTTAACCAAGTTCGGAATGGATAACAGCAAGCCAGTGAAGACGCCTCAAGATCCCGGCCTGAAGCTAACCAAGAACATGTGTGAACAAGAATGCAAGCACGAAGACACCATGTGCAACGTGCCATATCGAAGTGCTGTCGGAGGCATCATGTATCTCATGGTCGCCACACGTCCGGATCTAGCTGCTGCAGTGGGATCATTATCCCAGTTCTCGTCCGACCCATGCCCGACTCACTGGCAAGCTTTGAAGCGTGTGCTGAGATACCTGCAAGCAACGCCCAATCATGGTCTTGAGTTTACACGTGAAGAAGGAAGCCGTATCTGCGGGTACACCGACGCAGACTGGGCCGGCGACATTGAGTCAAGACGAAGTACAAGCGGCTATGTGTTCATGATGAGCGGAGGATGCATCAGCTGGAAAAGCCAGAAACAACGGACGGTCGCGCTATCTTCAACAGAAGCAGAATACATGGCGCTTTCCGAAGCAACCAAAGAAGCAGTATGGCTCAAAGTGCTTTTGGGGGAACTTGGTGAGATGACAAGCGACGAAGCGATCAAGATGTATGAAGACAACCAAGGATCAATCGCTCTCGCCAAGAACCCGGAGTTCCATAAGAGAACAAAACACATCGACATACGCTACCATTTTGTGCGTGAGAAGGTGGAATCAGGTGAAGTCGTTTTGGAGTATTGCCCGACTCAAGATATGCTGGCAGACATGATGACCAAGCCGATCGCCGCTGTACAATTTGAAAACATTCGCGATCGACTTGGGATCCAAGGTGCCGCAGCTAACGAGTCGAGAGGGAGTGTTGAAAAGACAGCGGCTGTGAAGAAGACACCTCGTCAAGCTGCGTCAAGTGTTGAAGCAAGTGGAAGACCAAGCTTCGCTATACCGGTGGGTACCGGTATGTACCAGTAAGGGCGAAGTCAGGAAATGACGTCACTGGATGACGTCATTGCATGACGTCAGTGGGTGACGTCAGTGGGTGACGTCACTGGATGACGTCACTGCGAATAATAGGCTTAGAGGTAGTATTCAAAGTTGCGAACTAAGTACCTATTATAAATATATATTCACTTTGCGTTTTGCACTCGGACCAAGAAGTCTAAAGTTCATCAATATCGATTTGAGGAAGTGTCAACAGGAGCGATCAAGATCAGTCGCGATGCCACATTCATGGAAGACAAGTTTGATGAAGGTCCGCGCAACTACAACGATGAGTCAAGTGTCGTTGAGTTTGATGATCATGATGAGGACGAAGAAAAAGAAGAAGGTAAAACTGACGACGAAATGGACTCGAGCGACGATGACAACGAAGACACCAGGTCTTCGAAGAGCAACATCAAGAGACACACGCGCACTCAATCACTTGAGAAAGCTACCGTCATTCCAAGTCCCAAGCGAAGAACATACAGAGGTCCGTCGCTTGAGCATGTGTCAGCGGCTGCAATGGATTTTGAAGCAGCCTACATCGTTGATTCAGTGGGGGAAACGCCGACTACATTCAAGTCGGCGATGGAATCAAGCGACTCCGGCATGTTGAAAAGACAGCGGCTGTGAAGAAGACACCTCGTCAAGCTGCGTCAAGTGTTGAAGCAAGTGGAAGACCAAGCCTCGCTATACCGGTGGGTACCGGTATGTACCAGTAAGGGCGAAGTCAGGAAATGACGTCACTGGATGACGTCATTGCATGACGTCAGTGGGTGACGTCAGTGGGTGACGTCACTGGATGACGTCACTGCGAATAATAGGCTTAGAGGTAGTATTCAAAGTTGCGAACTAAGTACCTATTATAAATATATATTCACTTTGCGTTTTGCACTCGGACCAAGAAGTCTAAAGTTCATCAGGTTATGAGCCCAAGTTCGTCAGACTCTGAAACCGCCAACAATTCAAGCTTAGCTGCCATGGACGCCTCCTCCCTCCGCATCTCCAAGTTCGATGGAACTAACTTCCACGCCTGGAAGTTCAAGATGCAGATGGTGCTGGAGGAACGGGACCTATGGGAGGTCGTCAGCGGTGAGATCAAGGCGGAACAGTGCGAGACTCAGTTGGACCAAGCGACGTACAAGAGGAAGTCAAGAAAGGCGATGGCAGTGATCTGTCTAGCCATGGAAGATTCCCAGCTACCGTTGGTCCGGTCGGCAAGTGGTGCATGCGACGCATGGTCAAGGTTGGAAGACCACTTCGAGAAGAAGAGTCTTGCCAACAAGCTGTTCTTGCGCCGTCGCTTCTTCACGACAATGATGGAAGAAGGCGACGATGTGCTCGAACACATCAACAAGCTCAAGACGCTGGCGGAACAGCTAGAAGCGGTGGGGGCTCCAGTCTGCGAGGACGATCTGGTGATCACACTCCTCGGCAGCCTGAGTGACTCGTATCAATTCTTGATCACAGCTTTGGAGTCGCGCTCAGACACTCTTAGCTGGGAGCTCGTGACGTCTCGACTGCTTCATGAAGAAATGAAGCGGAAGGAGCAAGGAAGTAAAGGTGATGAAGCTTCGCAAGGTCAAGCGTTCATCACAAGGGACAATCAGCGCAAAGGGCGACCAGTGAAGAAGTCCTGGCCGTGCCACAATTGCGGAAAGATTGGTCACTGGATGGCGGAGTGCCCCTCGCGCATCCAAGAAAACACGGAGAGACACCGGCCACAGCGTGCTCAAGACAGCGGCGACCGCTATCGATCACAACGTGCAAACGTCGCTCAAGAAGAAGACTCGGGCGACTACCTCTTTTCGATCGGTGAAACGACATCTGCGAAATCGAGCGACATCTGGCTGGTCGACTCCGGGGCGACGCAGCACATGACGTGCTCCAAGAAGTTCATGCGGAACTACAAGGGGTTTGACGCTGTGGATGTCCATCTCGCGGATGATGGAATCGTCCAAGCAATCGGCAGTGGGGACATTGTCATGTCGATGAAGACACCCCAAGGGATGAAGAAAGGTGTGCTCACAAACGTGTGGCACATCCCAAAGTTATCCAGAAACCTGTTCTCGGTCGGCCGCTTCACCAAGGATGTCGGCCCAGTGACGTTCACGAAGGATGGGTGCTATGGAGAAGCGAAAGGGACCAAGTGGAAAATTGGTGCCCGTGAAGGTAAAGGACTGTTCAAGCTGCAAATGACTCCAGTGGCGCCGGAACAAGCAAATGCAGCCAAGTCGTCGGGATGTCAAGGGGGCACCAAGTCGTACCTCTGGCACCTTCGGCTTGGCCACATAGGTCACGATGGACTCAATTGCATCGTGACGAAGAACATTGGAATTGGCATCGACATATCTTCGGTGAAGAAGTGGGACGTGTGTGAAGGTTGTGCTCTGGGAAAACAGACTCGAGTGCGCTTCCAATCAAACACTACAGCTCGCACCTCCAAACTCCTCGAAGTGATTCACAGCGACGTATGCGGACCGATGTCGATGGCAACTTTCAGTGGAAAACGGTACTTCGTGACATTCATTGATGACAAGTCAAGATACTGTGTCGTCTATCTGCTCAAGAGCAAATCTGAAGTTGCGGCGAAGTTCATGGAATACGCTGCGATGGCCGAAACGCAAACCGGAAAGCGCGTGAAGTACCTTCAAAGCGACAATGGGGGTGAATACAAGTCCGACAAGCTGGCACGATTCTGCGCGGAACGGGGAATACAACAAAGGTTCACACCCCCATATACTCCTCAGCTAAACGGAGTAGCTGAGAGAATGAATCGCACGCTGGTCGAGTGTGCGCGTTGCATGATGGAACACGCTGGACTGGGAAAGAGCTACTGGGGTGAAGCAGTGATGACGGCGATGTTTCTTCGAAACCGCTGTCCAACACGTGCCATTCACCAAGACAAGTCTCCATATCAAGTGTGGACGATGAAGAAACCGATTCTGGCCAACCTTAAAGTGTTTGGATGCCACGCGTATGTTCAAGTGCCTCAAGACAAACGCGCGAAGTTCGACTCCAAGTCATCACTCTGTCGTTTCCTGGGATACGCCGAACACCAGAAGTCATATCGATTTGAGGAAGTGTCAACAGGAGCGATCAAGATCAGTCGCGATGCCACATTCATGGAAGACAAGTTTGATGAAGGTCCGCGCAACTACAACGATGAGTCAAGTGTCGTTGAGTTTGATGATCATGATGAGGACGAAGAAAAAGAAGAAGGTAAAACTGACGACGACATGGACTCGAGCGACGATGACAACGAAGACACCAGGTCTTCGAAGAGCAACATCAAGAGACACACGCGCACTCAATCACTTGAGAAAGCTACCGTCATTCCAAGTCCCAAGCGAAGAACATACAGAGGTCCGTCGCTTGAGCATGTGTCAGCGGCTGCAATGGATTTTGAAGCAGCCTACATCGTTGATTCAGTGGGGGAAACGCCGACTACATTCAAGTCGGCGATGGAATCAAGCGACTCCGGCAAGTGGAAAGAAGCGTGTGACTCGGAGTTCGATTCGCTTCAGAGAAACGACACGTGGGAAATCGTGCCTCTTCCGAAAGGTCGCAAGGCCATCGGGTGCCGATGGGTTTTTCGTGTAAAGGAGAATCAAGATGGCGAAGTTGAACGTTTCAAGGCAAGACTTGTGGCCAAAGGATTCTCACAGAAATTCGGAGTTGACTATGAAGAAACTTTCGCACCGGTGGCCAAGTTCACATCGATTCGTGTGGTGCTCAGTATGGCGGCTAAGTACGGCCTAATGCTACATCAGATGGACGTCAAGACAGCGTTTCTTAACGGCTCCCTCAACGAAGACATCTACATGGACCAGCCGGACGGATACCTGGATGCAACACAGCCGGACTATGTGTGCAAGCTAAAGAGATCACTCTACGGCTTGAAGCAATCGCCTCGCATGTGGAACCAAACAATCGATGGGTTCATGATCAAGATGGGATTCAAGAAGTGCGAATCGGACCACTGCATCTACATCAAGCGAGACGACCAAGACATGATTCTCGTGGTGCTCTACGTCGATGATCTCATCCTGGCCAGCAGCAACAACGAACTCCTCAAGTCAACCAAGATGGCGCTGAGCAAACGCTTCGAAATGACGGATCTCGGTGAGCCTCGATTACTTTCTCGGCATGGAGATCAAGAACGACCGTAAGACGGGAATGGTGACTGTACAACAAACCAAGTTTCTCAAGTCCGTGTTAACCAAGTTCGGAATGGATAACAGCAAGCCAGTGAAGACGCCTCAAGATCCCGGCCTGAAGCTAACCAAGAACATGTGTGAACAAGAATGCAAGCACGAAGACACCATGTGCAACGTGCCATATCGAAGTGCTGTCGGAGGCATCATGTATCTCATGGTCGCCACACGTCCGGATCTAGCTGCTGCAGTGGGATCATTATCCCAGTTCTCGTCCGACCCATGCCCGACTCACTGGCAAGCTTTGAAGCGTGTGCTGAGATACCTGCAAGCAACGCCCAATCATGGTCTTGAGTTTACACGTGAAGAAGGAAGCCGTATCTGCGGGTACACCGACGCAGACTGGGCCGGCGACATTGAGTCAAGACGAAGTACAAGCGGCTATGTGTTCATGATGAGCGGAGGATGCATCAGCTGGAAAAGCCAGAAACAACGGACGGTCGCGCTATCTTCAACAGAAGCAGAATACATGGCGCTTTCCGAAGCAACCAAAGAAGCAGTATGGCTCAAAGTGCTTTTGGGGGAACTTGGTGAGATGACAAGCGACGAAGCGATCAAGATGTATGAAGACAACCAAGGATCAATCGCTCTCGCCAAGAACCCGGAGTTCCATAAGAGAACAAAACACATCGACATACGCTACCATTTTGTGCGTGAGAAGGTGGAATCAGGTGAAGTCGTTTTGGAGTATTGCCCGACTCAAGATATGCTGGCAGACATGATGACCAAGCCGATCGCCGCTGTACAATTTGAAAACATTCGCGATCGACTTGGGATCCAAGGTGCCGCAGCTAACGAGTCGAGAGGGAGTGTTGAAAAGACAGCGGCTGTGAAGAAGACACCTCGTCAAGCTGCGTCAAGTGTTGAAGCAAGTGGAAGACCAAGCTTCGCTATACCGGTGGGTACCGGTATGTACCAGTAAGGGCGAAGTCAGGAAATGACGTCACTGGATGACGTCATTGCATGACGTCAGTGGGTGACGTCAGTGGGTGACGTCACTGGATGACGTCACTGCGAATAATAGGCTTAGAGGTAGTATTCAAAGTTGCGAACTAAGTACCTATTATAAATATATATTCACTTTGCGTTTTGCACTCGGACCAAGAAGTCTAAAGTTCATCACGGCAAGTGGAAAGAAGCGTGTGACTCGGAGTTCGATTCGCTTCAGAGAAACGACACGTGGGAAATCGTGCCTCTTCCGAAAGGTCGCAAGGCCATCGGGTGCCGATGGGTTTTTCGTGTAAAGGAGAATCAAGATGGCGAAGTTGAACGTTTCAAGGCAAGACTTGTGGCCAAAGGATTCTCACAGAAATTCGGAGTTGACTATGAAGAAACTTTCGCACCGGTGGCCAAGTTCACATCGATTCGTGTGGTGCTCAGTATGGCGGCTAAGTACGGCCTAATGCTACATCAGATGGACGTCAAGACAGCGTTTCTTAACGGCTCCCTCAACGAAGACATCTACATGGACCAGCCGGACGGATACCTGGATGCAACACAGCCGGACTATGTGTGCAAGCTAAAGAGATCACTCTACGGCTTGAAGCAATCGCCTCGCATGTGGAACCAAACAATCGATGGGTTCATGATCAAGATGGGATTCAAGAAGTGCGAATCGGACCACTGCATCTACATCAAGCGAGACGACCAAGACATGATTCTCGTGGTGCTCTACGTCGATGATCTCATCCTGGCCAGCAGCAACAACGAACTCCTCAAGTCAACCAAGATGGCGCTGAGCAAACGCTTCGAAATGACGGATCTCGGTGAGCTCTGATTACTTTCTCGGCATGGAGATCAAGAACGACCGTAAGACGGGAATGGTGACTGTACAACAAACCAAGTTTCTCAAGTCCGTGTTAACCAAGTTCGGAATGGATAACAGCAAGCCAGTGAAGACGCCTCAAGATCCCGGCCTGAAGCTAACCAAGAACATGTGTGAACAAGAATGCAAGCACGAAGACACCATGTGCAACGTGCCATATCGAAGTGCTGTCGGAGGCATCATGTATCTCATGGTCGCCACACGTCCGGATCTAGCTGCTGCAGTGGGATCATTATCCCAGTTCTCGTCCGACCCATGCCCGACTCACTGGCAAGCTTTGAAGCGTGTGCTGAGATACCTGCAAGCAACGCCCAATCATGGTCTTGAGTTTACACGTGAAGAAGGAAGCCGTATCTGCGGGTACACCGACGCAGACTGGGCCGGCGACATTGAGTCAAGACGAAGTACAAGCGGCTATGTGTTCATGATGAGCGGAGGATGCATCAGCTGGAAAAGCCAGAAACAACGGACGGTCGCGCTATCTTCAACAGAAGCAGAATACATGGCGCTTTCCGAAGCAACCAAAGAAGCAGTATGGCTCAAAGTGCTTTTGGGGAACTTGGTGAGATGACAAGCGACGAAGCGATCAAGATGTATGAAGACAACCAAGGATCAATCGCTCTCGCCAAGAACCCGGAGTTCCATAAGAGAACAAAACACATCGACATACGCTACCATTTTGTGCGTGAGAAGGTGGAATCAGGTGAAGTCGTTTTGGAGTATTGCCCGACTCAAGATATGCTGGCAGACATGATGACCAAGCCGATCGCCGCTGTACAATTTGAAAACATTCGCGATCGACTTGGGATCCAAGGTGCCGCAGCTAACGAGTCGAGAGGGAGTGTTGAAAAGACAGCGGCTGTGAAGAAGACACCTCGTCAAGCTGCGTCAAGTGTTGAAGCAAGTGGAAGACCAAGCTTCGCTATACCGGTGGGTACCGGTATGTACCAGTAAGGGCGAAGTCAGGAAATGACGTCACTGGATGACGTCATTGCATCACGTCAGTGGGTGACGTCAGTGGGTGACGTCACTGGATGACGTCACTGCGAATAATAGGCTTAGAGGTAGTATTCAAAGTTGCGAACTAAGTACCTATTATAAATATATATTCACTTTGCGTTTTGCACTCGGACCAAGAAGTCTAAAGTTCATCAGAAAGAAGCGTGTGACTCGGAGTTCGATTCGCTTCAGAGAAACGACACGTGGGAAATCGTGCCCTTCCGAAGGTCGCAAGGCCATCGGGTGCCGATGGGTTTTTCGTGTAAAGGAGAATCAAGATGGCGAAGTTGAACGTTTCAAGGCAAGACTTGTGGCCAAAGGATTCTCACAGAAATTCGGAGCTGACTATGAAGAAACTTTCGCACCGGTGGCCAAGTTCACATCGATTCGTGTGGTGCTCAGTATGGCCGCTAAGTACGGCCTAATGCTACATCAGATGGACGTCAAGACAGCGTTTCTTAACGGCTCCCTCAACGAAGACATCTACATGGACCAGCCGGACGGATACCTGGATGCAACACAGCCGGACTATGTGTGCAAGCTAAAGAGATCACTCTACGGCTTGAAGCAATCGCCTCGCATGTGGAACCAAACAATCGATGGGTTCATGATCAAGATGGGATTCAAGAAGTGCGAATCGGACCACTGCATCTACATCAAGCGAGACGACCAAGACATGATTCTCGTGGTGCTCTACGTCGATGATCTCATCCTGGCCAGCAGCAACAACGAACTCCTCAAGTCAACCAAGATGGCGCTGAGCAAACGCTTCGAAATGACGGATCTCGGTGAGCTCGATTACTTTCTCGGCATGGAGATCAAGAACGACCGTAAGACGGGAATGGTGACTGTACAACAAACCAAGTTTCTCAAGTCCGTGTTAACCAAGTTCGGAATGGATAACAGCAAGCCAGTGAAGACGCCTCAAGATCCCGGCCTGAAGTTAACCAAGAACATGTGTGAACAAGAATGCAAGCACGAAGACACCATGTGCAACGTGCCATATCGAAGTGCTGTCGGAGGCATCATGTATCTCATGGTCGCCACACGTCCGGATCTAGCTGCTGCAGTGGGATCATTATCCCAGTTCTCGTCCGACCCATGCCCGACTCACTGGCAAGCTTTGAAGCGTGTGCTGAGATACCTGCAAGCAACGCCCAATCATGGTCTTGAGTTTACACGTGAAGAAGGAAGCCGTATCTGCGGGTACACCGACGCAGACTGGGCCGGCGACATTGAGTCAAGACGAAGTACAAGCGGCTATGTGTTCATGATGAGCGGAGGATGCATCAGCTGGAAAAGCCAGAAACAACGGACGGTCGCGCTATCTTCAACAGAAGCAGAATACATGGCGCTTTCCGAAGCAACCAAAGAAGCAGTATGTCTCAAAGTGCTTTTGGGGGAACTTGGTGAGATGACAAGCGACGAAGCGATCAAGATGTATGAAGACAACCAAGGATCAATCGCTCTCGCCAAGAACCCGGAGTTCCATAAGAGAACAAAACACATCGACATACGCTACCATTTCGTGCGTGAGAAGGTGGAATCAGGTGAAGTCGTTTTGGAGTATTGCCCGACTCAAGATATGCTGGCAGACATGATGACCAAGCCGATCGCCGCTGTACAATTTGAAAACATTCGCGATCGACTTGGGATCCAAGGTGCCGCAGCTAACGAGTCGAGAGGGAGTGTTGAAAAGACAGCGGCTGTGAAGAAGACACCTCGTCAAGCTGCGTCAAGTGTTGAAGCAAGTGGAAGACCAAGCTTCGCTATACCGGTGGGTACCGGTATGTACCAGTAAGGGCTGATGAACTTTAGACTTCTTGGTCCGAGTGCAAAACGCAAAGTGAATATATATTTATAATAGGTACTTAGTTCGCAACTTTGAATACTACCTCTAAGCCTATTATTCGCAGTGACGTCATCCAGTGACGTCACCCACTGACGTCACCCACTGACGTCATGCAATGACGTCATCCAGTGACGTCACCCACTGACGTCACCCACTGACGTCATGCAATGACGTCATCCAGTGACGTCATTTCCTGACTTCGCCCTTACTGGTACATACCGGTACCCACCGGTATAGCGAAGCTTGGTCTTCCACTTGCTTCAACACTTGACGCAGCTTGACGAGGTGTCTTCTTCACAGCCGCTGTCTTTTCAACACTCCCTCTCGACTCGTTAGCTGCGGCACCTGGATCCCAAGTCGATCGCGAATGTTTTCAAATTGTACAGCGGCGATCGGCTTGGTCATCATGTCTGCCAGCATATCTTGAGTCGGGCAATACTCCAAAACGACTTCACCTGATTCCACCTTCTCACGCACAAAATGGTAGCGTATGTCGATGTGTTTTGTTCTCTTATGGAACTCCG